CAGTGCTGCTGTAACTCTCCAGCCCATCCCAGAACCTGCAGGTGTGTGTTCACAGCACCCTGCTGAAGGACCCACTGCCACCTGCCAACACACACTGCCCTTTGTGCTTAGCCAAATGGAGCAGTGAATTTGTTCTCAGGTAGGAGAAGAGGCCATTATTTCTGGGGCCCCACCAACTGCACCCCGCGAGCTGAGGTAAAACCCTGCTGCTTCCCATCTCTTTTTGCTTCTTTCATGCGCTGTTCTGGCAGGGCCCAGTCTGAGTCTGCTCATAACTTTCTCAACCGGTTCATTGAGTTTGAAGCTGCCACTCTTTATTGTTTTAAATCTGAGCGCTCCTTCAGTGAGTTCTTAATAGAGAAGGAAGAGATGCAGTCCAGAGAGAGAGAAATTTTGCCTCTTAAACATTTTTAAACTTTTTTTTAACTTGTCAACTCTTGTGACATTCGACCCTGGGGACCTGATCCTGAGAGCTTTCCCCTCTTGGAAAAGTTCATGCAGCTAACTGGAATTTTAACTTAATCTCAGTCATGTCCCCACAACAGAACGTTTTTCTCCCTATCACCATCTCGTTGCATATGCGGCAACCAGCGTGACCCTTGCTGGGCATTTGTTTAAGAGCTTCCCTGACCTGAAGAAGCCTTCACTGCTGCTGATGCTATTGGCACTTTTGCAGTAGGAGCCTTCGCTGCCTTTCTCCGCTGCCCTCTCCTCGGCCCGTGCAGCTTTGTGGGCCCTCACTGTTGCACGTACCTGTAAGGGGGCCATGGGGAGCTTCGTCAAGGCTGAACTGTCAAAGGCTCTCGCTGGTTTATGTTCAGACTCTTGGAGCAGAGTCAGCAGTGCAGAAACGTGCCCCGTGGGGAGATCAAAGCTTTGGTAGCTAGACTGATCAGTCACTGCCCTCCTTAATTAAAGCCAGGCCTGTGTGCGTGGCAGTGTGATTAAAGGCAGAGAGACAGTTACAAAAGCGTGATGGCAGTTGTTTCCTAGTGTTCCTTCTCTTGGTCCACGTGGGGCTGGTGTGCAAGGAGAACTTGCCTGTCTCATCCACTCCTGCCATGACATCCCATGCACACACATAGGCATACATGTGGTCAGATCATTGCTGGCACCTGTCTCATCAGTTGAATGAATCATAGAAATGTAGGATCATGGAGCGGGAAGGGACATGGAGGTCATTTGGTTCCATCCCTTAGAGGTGAGAAACTGAGGCCAGAAGGATCCTCAGAGTTGGTCAGGAGCTGAGCCTGCATTTCATGTCATTTCTCCCAGTCTCAGCTTAGTGTCATGTTGTAAATGACAAATATAACTTACTTAGGTTCTCATTCATTCATGCAACAGATGTTTATTCATCACCTACTATGTATTGAGGTCTTTGATTTCATTACCAATTTCCCATTCATCTGGGTTCCTTCCATCTTCAGTGCTGTAGGACGATTCAATTCCACATTCCCTACGCTAGTAGCTCTCCAACTTTCTAATACCAACCACCAGTTTTGAATACCCACCATATCCCAGGCACTGTGCTAACATTTTCCTCAGTTACTAACAACAAAAACTACCATCATATTAAGCCCTTATAAATCCCTGAATCTGTTAGATGATTTACAGATACTACTTCACTTAATCCCCAGGAAAATATTTTTAGCTGACTTATCCTTCACAACATGCCATTCATATTTCCACAGCTGAAGGGCTGCATGCTTGAGCAGACCGCCCAAGGATACCAGGGTGTAACTAGACTTTTTTTTAGAGTAAACAGACTTTACTCCTGTCTGTCTGTCTGCTGTTAAAGCACATGGTTTCCCCATAAGCTTGCCCTGCTAAGCTTTGAGGAGGTAGGGCAAGTCTGTCCTTCTGGTCTTCTCTTTTCTCTCCACCCTTCACCTTCTAGAAAAGAACACTCCAGCCTTTTTTGGGAGAAGTCTGCTGTTCCTTCATCTCTTTCCTTTCTGTTTTCATTGTTTGGAGATGTAATCTCTCTCAATCTAAACACACAGCTCATGGGCTGGTCCACTGATTGCAGAGAGGCTGGCTGGTTTCAGGCCTCCTGTCACCAGCCTGCTCTGCATTCAGGTCGCGCTGCCTCGCCTACCTGTCTTCCCCTCCCACTTAGCCATCAGAGCAGCCTCATCCAGCTAAATCGCTAGTTACTTGAGAGTAAAGATGTGTCCTCTTGATGGTAGGGTGCTCATCAGAGCCTTGGCTGCCTCTCGCCCTTGTGGAAATGCAATCCATGTATGTTCTGTTAAATTCATCTTGGTGTCTGGTGAGAGGGCGGTGATTTAAATCTGTTCATTTCCCACTTACTGCTGAGGCCAACTCACCTTTGCTGGAGAGGATTCTTGACTGTCTTTGTGGCAGGAACTCCTGAGTTAATGAAGTCTCTTCAAGAGCTTCAGACTGAAGGCCAAGGTCCCTGAGGTAAGACCTGATGTTGAAATTGTAATCGGGCAAATTCTTGTTAGAGACACAGGGCCAACGATTGTGCTGGTGGAATCTAATGTCTTCTAATGTTGACTTCAAACTAGTAAAGCCTTTGCTAAGCCATTTAACTGTAAAGCTGGAACCTGGGAAGGCACTGCAGCCTCTGCGATTAGAGATCAGGTGATTTGGATTTGATTTCCAGCCCTCTACTGATCAGTCACTCACTCTCAGGCCTTAGCCAGTCACTTCATTTCTGTCTCTTGCCCATTTTGCCCAGGGTTTTATTTACATGGACGTTAAGGCCCACTGGGAAGCAAGCCCCTTTTCAGCTCAGTGCCTGATTTGGTGAGGATGCTGGTCAATCTAGGTTTTAAGGCACATATGATTTTGGATTAACACTACTACCTCTGCCTGAAATTAACATGGGCAATTAACAGTTGATTGACAAGAAAGAAAATGAGGTCCGAAGACTTAAAGCATAACCAAGGCCTTTATTACTAAAAGATGGCTCGACTCAAGTGGGCACAGACCACCTGTGCTAACACTTCGTCAGCTATCGCACTCACGGGGAGACTTTGCAGGGAGAGTTTTGGCTTCGTATTTTGAAAAATTTAAGTGTACTCTACAAATAAAAGCTGCTATTTTTGGTCTTATATAGAACTGCGAGTCCTTTTCAGCAAACAGGAGAGAAGTGTGAGTCCTGTTTAGTCTCCTCGTCTGCTGCTGAGGGCGAAGAGAGAAGCAGGAGGCCCTTGGTGCGTGGCCAGGCACACAGCCAGGCTCCCTGCAGGGTTCCTGTCCGTAATGGTGGTGCAGCCTCAGTTAGTGTGAGCCAGGCCTGAAAGAACGAATCACATTTCATGTGCAAGTGTTTCTTTATTTGACTGTGCTGTTGTTTTTAACGAAGATACCTTTTACAGTGTGCTGCAGTGCATTAATCAAATAGTCCTGCCTAATTGTTTTCTGTGTAACACACGAGCTTGAGTGAGGAGACCACAGGGTGGGAGGCAGGGTGTGGGGAGGAGGAGGGAGAGTGGATATGCAAGTTAGGGAAAGGTGCTTCTTCCTTTGGGTGGATGCAGCCCCGTGCTGAGATGTGTGGCTTGGAGAGGGGAGCACGGATGGGTTTCAGCCCTCACTGACCCTTTGCTGTGCAGGTCATAGCCTCTGCTACTTGATGCATGGCCCTGGTTGGGGGTGGCATCCACAGGGTGAGGGTAAGAGACTTGAAGGACTTAATCCGAGAAGAAGCTCTCTGAAGTGACCTCAGTTAACTTACTTAACTGGTCTCTATTCCTCTTGCAAAATGTATTAATGGCTACTGCGGCTATATGCTTATGTCACTATCATCTTATAGGCCACCGTTATTCTGCTTCCTATATTTGGGCTGAATGCACACCGAGATCCAATTGTGTAAGTTCCTTAATCTGTTTGCGCCAGGTAGATTTGTTATTGTAATTGAGTAATTTAATCATTGCATAAACGAAAGATGAGTGGGGAAAAGAATAGCTAGTTTTCATTGAGCACTTACTATGTGCTAGGCACTCTTCTGAGTCCTTAACATCTAGTCTCCTGTAACTGCTGTGTTGATAAAACTCAGTTGGATGTTTTGAACAAAAGTGATAAAAGTGAGTTGCTACAAAAGAATTTCCAAGTGAATTAGGTATGAAGAAGATAACAGTAAAAAATTTGGAGGGAAACTAAAAACCTTAGAAGATTTCTGCATCCAGAAACCTTTGCATTTGCTCAGCAAATGTCTTTAAGTTCTTAATCTACTTGGAAGAAAGCAAAACTAGAAATCAGTCTATATGTTATTTATGCAAGCAACACTTTGAGAAATTAACCTGTGGACCCATACCTAGAAGAAAGATCTCCAATCTACAGTGAAATATCAAAATATCAAAATGTTAACATATGCACATATTTTCTACGATTTTTTGCTTTAACGTCTGTTCTAATTAGCGGACCACCTTTTACTGGCCCTGATTGTGTTGATAAGACGTCTTTTAGATAAGAATGTTACTGAAGCCAAATCAAATGTGAGCCCCAGACGGCCCCTGCTGATGTGGGCAGGTGCCTGTCAGTGAGCTGATGAGGTTCATCTAAGGAATGTGTCTCTGAAGTAACCATTGGGATCTACAGATCACATTCTCATATTGCAAGTTCCTTTTTTCTCAGTTACTGGGTTGGATTGGATTTTAACATGTCAAGTATTTCCAGAACTCAATGGACTGCATCAGCCCGGGTTTTGGAGCTTTATGTTCAGTATAATGAAGTTTGACATATAATAACACTGCCCTTTAGTGCCTCTAGCCAATGGGATTTTTTTGCTGTCCCAATGGTCAGATCCTCTGAGAATTGGAAGGGTGAACATGTGTGGGGGGTAGTATATACACACACGCTTATATTCAGTTAAACAAATATTCAGTGAGCCTACTAAGTGCCAGGTGCTGTGCTGTGGGCCATAAGGACCCAAGAAAATACCCGATATGATCATTGCCCCCAAGAAACCTGGGGATGTACCTAGAGGAGTCCCACATCACTTGGCTAAGACAAATGGGCTGTTAGAGACCACTGTGCAGGTTGAGGGCAGCAAGAGAGAATCCCAGTTGGAAAGCAGCTTGGAGTAGGGCGACAGTGCAGAGGAATTATACAGCTCGTTGATAATAACTTACAGAATAATCAAGCTTCAGGTTGCTTTAATGTTTATCTGATTTAATTCTCAAAAATAATTCTAGGATAGTGGAAAGACCACTATATTGCCAGCTGACACTTGAGGACACAGATATAGAGGGAAGGCAACTTGTCCCAGTAATGTGGAGCCAGAGCTCTGATAAGGCTTCCTGGTGACTAGATTGGTGCTGCTCCCGCCACCAGGCAGCTTTGCATCTTCTGGGCACATTCGCTCACCTGCCTACCAGCCTAGAGACACTGTAGTCATGTATCACTTAACAACAGGGATCCGTTCTGAGAAATGTGTTGTTAGACGATGTCGTCGTTGTGCAAATATCTTAGGGTATACTTACACAAACCTAGATGGTATAGCCTACTACACATGTAGGCTATATGGTACTAATCTTATGGGACCACTATTGTATATGCAGGCTGCTGTTAACCAAAACTTCGTTATGCAGCACGTGACTGTAATTGAAACTCATACCTTAAATGCCCAGGTTAGACTGTCTTATTGCCTTATTGTCTCTCCTTTTGCATAAGCCACAACTACTGCCAACTTGCTAAATATAGGGCCACATTGACTTCTGGGATTGGCCCAGGTCTGGCTCCTGCAGCACAACATGACATGTGGCTGTATGTGGAGGCATGCCTGCTTACCTGGCACAGGGCTGGGGATTCCTGCCTTCTGGCCGTGTGGGCAATGGTTGGGCCAGCACCCTCATCCAGTGCCTTCTGAACCATTCAGGGAAGTATTTTAGGCTTACACATTCTGCTGAAGGCTGGGCAGACTCAGCTGGGCCCTAGAATAGCTCTTTGCCATTTAATAGGACGGTTGCATTTGCAGAGGTACCATAAGCCACCTGGATAAGGGCCCTTACAGCAGAGCACTCTCTGCAGCTTGGACTTGAATTACACTGTCTGTTTGAAGGAAGGGCATGGAAACCTCCCTCTCGGTTCCCTCACTCGAAACAAAAACCACAAACGTAAGGGTGATGTTAAGCTCAGCATGTGTTACGGAGTGGCTTTGTGCTTACACTGGGACAGTGAAAGATACAACCAAGCAAAGGGAAGGATATGGGGCACGTGGTCCTTTCTTCATGGTCCGTTCATTTATTCATCAAATATTTGCTGAGCACCTACGAAGTGCTGGGTGGTGTACTGGGTATTGGGGTTTCATTTGGAGCAATTGTGGCCCTGCCCTTGCAGAGTTCACAGTCTGCTGGAGGGATGCAGACAAGTCCAGATATAATTATAGTGGAGTCTGAGAAATCCAGTGGGTGACACACTGGATGCAGGGCAGCGGCACATGGTTATGCAGGGTGGGGCTGCTCAAGGGCTCTTGGCTGAAGGGGAAAATAGAGGCTGAAATCCAGCCCCTGCTCTCCTGCTCAAGACATGTGCTGCCTGGAGAAGGGGAGCCTCTTCGTAACCCACAGAAAGGCCACAGGGACCAGCAGTGACCTTGATTGGAAAGACACGTGACTTAGATTTAGGATGGGAGGGAAAGCTTCTTGGAAGGAAACATCTGAAATGAGACCTAAAAGATGACTAGGAGTTAGCCGGCCAGGGGGACTAGTGGAAAGGTGGGAAAGCACATTCTAGGCAGAATCATAATTGCCAACATGGAGATAGCGCTTAGCATGTGCCAGGTCCTGCTCTGATGCCTTAAAGATTACTCTTTTTAAGAGAAAGTTGCATGTAGAATGCACAGAAGCACAAGAAAACACGGCATTTTGGGGAATCGGAAGAGTGTTCATTATGGGTAGAGCATGGAACTCAGAGCTCGAGAGGGAGATCCATGAAGGCTAGAGTGATAATTATGGCTAATTACACTTGCTGTATGTGAGGTAACCTTCTGAGCACTTAGTGCCTAGTGACTCATTTAATCCTCACAACTATTATGCGAGGTAGGCGCTATTATTATCCTCATTTTACAGAGGCAAATGGGGCACAGAAGGATTGAGCCACCTGTCCAAGGCTACACTGCAGAACGGGAGAGACAGGATTTGCACTCAGGCTCCCGGTTCTTAATCCCCACACTGCCTCTCTGGGAAGAGCCTGAGGTGGAGATAGGCCTCCAAGGATTGACTGGGCAGAGGAGAGACAGGAAGCCCATCCAGATGGGGTGACAGAGGTCAACCTTGACAAGAGGGTAAGCACTACAGTCTGAACAGGAGAGCCTGGCCACATGGTGCCATTTCTAGTCTTGCTTTTCCAGCAACTCTGAGAAAATGAAAATCCTTCCTCATAAATTATCTCATTAGTTCCTAACCATCATCCCATGGAAGCTGAAGATAAGACCCCCACTGTAGCAGTGAAAAAAACCAAAAAAACCGAGACTCAGGGAAAGGAAATAACCTTTCCTCTTAAAAAGTAGAGCCTCACTCTGGAAGCTCATTTTCTTCTTTTGTTCATTTATCTAGGCAACATCTATTTATTGAGCATCTACTATATGCTGGACCCTCTGCTGGGTGTGAGAGATACAGTAGTGAAAAGGTACATTCCCTGATGTCAGGCACATGGGGATTTTAAAACAGTTCAGACAGGTCAGTGTGGGGATTTTAAGACATGTCTGCAAATTCTTTGACATTTGTGTCATTGAGAGATGGGATATGTGATTTCTCCCCTTGAATCTGGGCTGAGCTTAGGGACTCGCTTATAGCCCCATAGAATGCAGTGGAAGAATGTGACTTCTGAGGCTCTGGGACTTCTGAGGCTAGATCCAAAAAAAGCTAGACAACTGTCAATCACTGAGAGAAGTCAGCTGCCAAGTAAGAAATCTAACTAGCCTGATACAGCCATGCTAGAGAGGCCACGTGTGGGCACTCTGGTTGACAGCTCCTGCTGAGCTCCCAGTCAACAGCCAGCATAGTCTGCCAGCCTTTTGATGGAGCCATCTTGGACGCCCAGCCTCGTCCAACTTTCCGCTGACTGCAGCTCTGGCCAACTTCTTATGTAACTGCGTGAGAACCCCAAGCAAGAACTGCCCAGCCCAGCCTCTCCCACATTCCTGACCCACAAAAGTGTGAGCAAAATGAAATGGCTGTTATATTACAGAGGTTGCAATTTCTTATGTAGAGATAGTCACTGGAATAATCCGCCTGCAAGAACGGAGGGGAACAGTACCTCAGGGGACCCAGTGGAGACAGGGCTCAAATCTTGAGAGAAGAGATTGCTTAAATCTTCTGCTTTAGCAGCGAACATAAAACCTGCAGCTCTCTCCCAGCTTTTATTGCTAATTGGTCCTTGGGAAGGAGGAGGCAGGCAGAAGTAGAAGAGAAAAAGTAAAATGAGCAATGTAATAAAGAGGACTTGATTTTGCATGCTGCTTTGGGTGTGAGCTGACATCCCCCCTCCATACACACATACACACACATACATACACCCACGCACACAGCAGGCAGCGCAGGAGCCTGATTAACTAGAAGTTACCATTGTCACCGATGGAGCCTACTGTTCTCAGTCTTTACGCTGGTAATGAACGGTGCTCTCTGCTTTAGGTCTGACATCCTGATTAGTTAAACTGTTTGCAAAAGTCTCTGTGGGACTTTGCTTCAGCCTCGTCTGCTGAGTGGTTGTGGCAGTCGGGACTAAGATGAGGACTAAAGGCTGCAGCTGGAAGAGAAAGCATCTCCTTAGGGTCCCATCAAGCACCAGTTAGTTAGAAGCAAGCGAGGTGGGTGGTGGTGAGGGTAACGGGTATGGGCTGTGGTGCGAGGACATTTCCCATCAGATACCAGGATATTCACTTCCTGCGTTCCAAGTCTCACCTTTGCTTGTCCTCTTTCTGGTGGGGATGGGGGTCGGAAGCCTTCATTTCCCTTCACAGAAGAAGAACTGGGAGGAGAGGTGATGGTGGTTAATAGTGTGTCCCAACTATTGTCCTCACTCTGTTCGAAAAGAGACAATGAGGAATGTGGAGTCTCCTGTCAGTTGCTGGAAGGGCAAAATTGCTTCCTCCACCAGGGCGGGCCTGGCTCCCCTTCTTAATCCATCAGTTATGGCGGAAGTCATGATGCTTTCACCAGAAACATCTATGGGCAGCTCTTGGGATTACTTCTGAGAGGTAGGACATTTCTGGGAAATCTTCTTCCTTAATTAATGTTTCTAATTTTTAGTCAGTTCGCAATTAAAGAACTTTACCCTTGGGCTGTCCGAGATGTTAGCTGTCGGTTCATTCTTGCAGGGACCCACAGGAGCAATTTTCAACCTCATTTAACCTGCAAAACAGCTGTGGTAAGAATTGGTGAAGGATCCTCTTCCCCCCAAAGGGGAGGCATGAGTGGCAGGAAGTTAATTAGGATTCAGTGTTTCTATTGCCTGGGTCTGTCATGTTACTGAGGTGTGAGTCCCAGGGCCCCGTTAAGAGGTGATATTCCTCCCAAGAGCTTTGTCTGGATTTTCAAAGACACCGTGTCATTGGCACCGTCTCATTTCGGAGTGGGAGACTGGCTCTGCTAGGCAAATCAGCCCTGGGAGGGTTTTCACCTGCTCTGCTGTGAACCTCACATTGGCACTTGAGTTCATGTTTCCATCGCTGAAGTTGAGTGTGTCGAGGTGGGATGGAGGACAGAGAGGGATCCAGCTCAGGGGGCAGGTTCTATTTAGGGAGCATCTGGACTCCACGGGGAAGGTCCTGGCAGCCCATCTCATCTACCCCTCTGCTGAGGCACGGACCCTGGTGAGGTCAGCACTTGATCCCCATCCTCCTTTTTGAGGCACATTCTCAGAGACTGTGCCCTTGAACCAGCCTTTGTCACCATCTTGTTAAACTCTAAGTACAGAAAACCTGAGGACGTTTTCATAACTGCTCCACGTTCTGTGTGTGTGGTTGTTTTTATAAAGATTGGCGCCTGAGCTAACATCTGTTGTCAATCTTCCTTTTTTTCTTTTCTTCTTCTCCCCGAAGCCCCCCCAGTACACAGTTGTATACTCTAGTTGTAGGTCCTTCTGTTTGTGCTATGTGGGACGCCTCCACAGCATGGCTTGATGAGCAGTGCCGTGTCTGTGCCCAGGATCCGAACTGGTGAAACCCTGGGCCGCCAAAGTGGAGCATGTGAACTGAACCACTCAGCCACGGGGCCTGCTCCAGTTCTGTGTGGTTTTGAATGAACAGTCGTAGGATTGTATTTCTTTGCAACTGAAGGAGAACTTGGAGATAGTTTAGGTTAGTCCTTGCGTTTTACAGATGAGGAGTTTGGACTTTCAGAGGTTAGTTGCTTTGTCTGAGGTTACACAGTGAGTTAGTGACAGAGCTAGGAGAAGAACCCAGGTTTCCTGGATCTTAAATCAGTATTTCTATTACACTATATTGCTTTATCTAAAAACAGTACCCTGTACCTGCAAACTGATTTAAAGCAGGGTTTCCACATAATTCTTTATTGTGGGGCTCATCTCTGCATTGTGGATGTTTCGCAGCATCTCTGGCCTCTTATCTGTTAGATACCAGTAGCAGCCATTTTCCCACCCAGCTGTAAAAAGTAAATGTCTCTAGACATTGCCAGATGTTCTGTGGGGGGGAAAATTGCCTCTTGTTGAGAATTACTGATTGAAGTTAGTGTATCTTTAAAGAAGAAACATACAGTAGTCCCCCCATTATTTGCAGTTTTGCGTTCTGCGGTTTATCTTATCTGTGGTCAACTTTGGTCCAAAAATATTAAATGGAAAATTCCAGAAATAAACAATTTAGAAGTTTTAAATTATGTGCTGTTCTGAATAGCATGATGAAATCCCGCTCCATCCTGCCCAAGACATGAATCATCCATTCGTCCAGCAGATCTGCACTGTATAGGCTATCAGCTCGTTAGTCACTTAGTCGCTGTCTCCATTAGCAGATTCGACTGTCACAGTGTCACAGTGCTTGTGTTCAAGTAACCCTTATTTTACTTAATAATGACCCCCAAGTGCAAGAGTAGTGATGCTGACAATTTGGATATACCAAAGAGAAGCCATAAAGTGCTTCTTTTAAGTGAAAAGGTGAAAGTTCTTGACTTAATAAGGAAAGAAAAAAAATCACGTGCTGAGGTTGCTAAGATGTAGGGTAACTTTTATGACAGTATATTGTTATAATTGTCCTATTTTATTAGTTATTGTTGTTAGTCTCTTACTGTGCCTAATTTGTAAATTAAACTTTATCATAGGTATGTATGTATAGGAAAAACATTGTATATATAAGTTTTGGTACTATCCGTGGTTTCAAGCACCTACTGGGGGGTCTTGGAACATATCCCCTGTGGACAAGGGGGGACTACTCCACTTATATTAACTCTTTCTAGGAGTGTGTGAGTACAAAATGGACCTGAGTAGCAGTCAGGGATGTCAGAAGACATTCTACTTCCTGATTAACTGTGACCAGACAGAGTCATGGGGCTCTATAAGAAGACCATACTGCCTGTTCCTTTATTTAAATGCGTAGATTGTAATGTTTTGAAGGGGAGGAAAGTCTTTAGAGGAAACCGATAGGATAGTTTGTCGTTAAGGGAAGCAATTGCTATAGACACTCTTGTCTAAAGGACTTGTATCCAGCATATATAAAGGACTCTCAAAATTCAATATTAGGAAAACAAACAACCCAATTTAAAAAGAAGGCAAAAGATTTAAACAGACGGCTCTTCAAAGAAGATGTACAGATGGCCCATAAACACATGAAAACATGTTCAACATACTAGTTGTTAGGAAAATGCAAATTAAAACCATAATGAGATAGCACTACATAACTAAGAATGGCTAACATTGAAAAGACTGACCATATCAAGTGTTGATGAGGATGTAGGGGAAGTGGAACTCGCACACACTGCTGGTGGGAAGGTAAAACGGTACAGCCACAGACAGTTTGACAGTTCCTTAAAATGTTAAACACACACCTACTGTATGGTCCAGCTATTCTGCTTCTAGGTATTTACCCAAGAGAAATGAAATCCCTTAATCCCTCTTGTCTGATACCTCAAGACAGATGCTCCTGATCTAAGAGCATCCCAACAATGCACAGCAGTGTTATTTGGAAGAAAAACATAAATAAGGAACTTGTGCAGAACGACAGGAACTGAATTGCTTTTTCTTTTCTCTGCCCCATCTGGTGGCACCTGAATGCCTCCCTTGTCTGACTTCTGGAGTGCCCAGGCCTGGGTCACCTTTCTTAGAGCAGGCCTGGAGGGCTATAGGTCCTGCCTGGCAGCTTTGCAAGTGCCTGTTTTGTAAGATGGATTTCAAATTTTTTGTTGTCTTTATAAAGGGTGTGAAAAGACATGAAGACTTCCTAGACTGGGGTAGCAGTAGTATATAATTTCTACTCTTGCTTCTAGACTCCAGATCTTTCCCAACTCCCATTCTCTACCCTAAATTAGATGTACGGGGTTTGACAATGTACCTACCAGATTCATTTCTCATTTTCCCCCAAACAGGGTCCACTTTCCATCCCTACTATTATAGAGAATTCCTCCAATAACTTCATCTTATTCCCAGCTGAAATTTAACTTCTCAAGACTACTTTGGGGGAAAAGACAGGTCTAAACATGAGACTTCATGCCTACACATGGCCTGATGGCCTAGAAAAGAAAGTAATCAAAAGGCTGTGGAGACATATTCCATCTTGTCACCCATAATCTTAATGTCACAGTTGGTTGGGTACCAACTGTTTTCCAAACAGAAAGTTGTATAACACAAAAGGATTTGTGACAGCCCTGCCTGGAGTAATTGAAGTCAAAAGCCTTTTGCTAATATGGGAGAGGCATTTTAGGTAACCAGCCCTATGATGCTTAACACATGAGAGCATAATTACACAATAAGGTTTTATACCATTTGAAGTAGACTGGCAGTTACTATCTCCATGGAATAAAAGAGATAATTGAGACTCAAGCCCTAAAGTGCCCAAGGTCATGCATGTAATAAGTGATGAGACTGACTTTCAAATTCTGATCTTCAGACTTGGTGCCAAGTCCAGTATGTCTTTCTTTACCCATATACTTTTCTATGTGTTTGTTATTTATGGAACTTTTCTCTGATTTGTGTAGCTAACCCATGAGCTGCTCTCATTAGATTAAAAAAATTAGCACTTTATTAGTAGTGGGAATTATATTAGAAAAATCAGAGTGATTTCTAGTATGCTCCTCTTTTACCTGGAAAAAAAAAGTTTTCTGCTAGGAAGAAGGGAGGGGACAGACAACTTACATCAGTTTCCTTATGGTCCTGCAGCTTCAGGGGTTATGACCTGGACCATGCTGATGACCTTCATATCTGAGTGTTTTCTCAAGAGACCCTAGATGACAGGGCCCGAGAAATGGCTGGAGGTCATTCTTATGTGCCACTGTACTCACCCCGGTTCCACCAACACAAATAACAACAAACCTTAAACACTCGTGTCCCGAATTCATTTCCTTTGGAAATTGGAGGTTTTCTTATATGCACCATAGAAATCTTTAGGGGACCCACCTCAATATGTTTTGTTTAATCTTGGTTGAAATCCAACTCTTCTTCCTTCTGGATCACCCCTCCCCTTATACTCCTTCTCCCTCTCCTGTCAAGGGTTGATGGACAATAGATGGTAGCGACAGTTTCTATGGTAACAGCATCTGAGTCATCTCCTTGGAAACCTGCATAAAGGCCTTCCATCTCCCGACCAGCTCCATGCGATTTGGAAGGCTTTTGTTCCCTTGAATGTATCAGCATGGGGGAGCAAGCTCTCCCAGGCCTGGGCTACTGCAGTTTCCTTTGGCTCCTGATGCCCATGGTACTTTGGGTATAGAGTTGGATTCAGGCAAAAGTGGAGGATGGTAGGACCTCGAGTGCTTTTCTTGACATAGCCCATGGCCAGAGGCATTGTCTGTGGTCCGGCACCAGATACCCAGCAGATTTAGCCAATAGGCCTCTCGCTTTTTAAAATGCCCAGATGACTCAACTGAGGCTCCCTCAGTGACCAGCAATGGATCAGAATAAAGCGATACTGCGTCTGAACATAGATGAGATGACTATTTTGGCACAGTCATGAAGAGAATCCTGAAATGGGGCACCGTGGGATAGCTTGTAACAGTCCCTTTCCTTGGGGTGTCGTTCAAATGGAGCAATTTTGTTACTGAAATGCAAGCAGAATGGTTTCCAGCAGCTAAGAGGATTAATTCTATTGTCATTGTCCATACCAAGTAACAATGACAAACATTTCCATTGTGCTTCTTATTTTATAGATCATTTTCACATACAGGGGCTCAATTAATCATTTATTCAATTATTCAACACATGTTAATTTGAAACCTCCTATGTGCTGCATATTGTGGTGGAGTTTGAGGCACAGCGGAAAGAAAGTAGACGTGGTCCCCACCCTAATGAAATTTACAGAAAAGAGAATCAGTTACACATGACTGTGAACATTCAGCTAAGATCTGCTAAGGAGAGGGTCCATGGTGTGGTGAGTGTATGTGATGGGAGATTTGACCTACTAGAGACATCTTCCCTGAAGAAGCGATGGTCATGCTGACACCTGATCAACAGGGCCCTCTTGCATATAAGGAAGTGAAGATTTGGAGGGTGAGGAGACTTCCCCAGGGTCACACCAACTGCTAAATGACAGTCCTGGGATATGAACCCAGGACTTGTACAGTTGGACCCTTGTCCGGTCTCTTCCCTCCTGCTGGCTCTCAGCATGGCCTAGAGTCATTCTTAGGCCAGATAGCCAAGGGGGGTCTGCTCCCATTTCCTCTTTCAGTGCTAATACTGCCCTTCATAAAGGTTTTGCTGTCTTCCAGGACTGGGCCCGTTGTCCATTTGTCCAGGGGACATTTCTAGGTATTTTCTCTTTATCTGGACATCCTCCTCCAAAGTGTTAACTGATGAAGGTAGCCTTCATAGGACCGTTGACCTGTAAATACAGGACTCTAAGAGGCTAAAAGTTGTGAAGCCTCCTCCTGGTTCCCCCTAAAAAGGATAGAGGTAGGTTGAGAAAGAAGATCCGCTGGTGGAGTATAGGCCTTAAGGTAGAGTTTTTGCCAACATTTAGGAACAAAGCAGCAGCCTGTGCCAGGCAGCTGCATTTCATTTATACTGTGGGTCCTTCTGACTTCCTTGGGGTTCCCTCCCCGTTGTGAAAGGGCAAAGAAAGGTGTGCTGTCTCCTGCTTGGAGGCGTGAGGCAGCCCTCCTCAGTCCTTGGGTGGGAGGGAAGGAGAGAGAGGGAGGCGGGGCAGGTTTGAGTTGTGTGAAATGGCACCAGCCCTGTGGACCAGCTGGGGTAGCTGCTGTGTGCACGGCCCTGATGGTGATGCCGCAGGTGTCCCGATTTAGACTTCTGTCTGCTTGTAACATTTTTGAAAAACCAAGAGTTTAAATGTGGCTGGTCACACCCTCCCCCAGAGGACCACCCTTCTACCTATCACTTGAGTTCTTCTTCCTCTTGTTTCTCTGTGGACACGGTATCAGCCAGAGAGCTTTTTCTTGAACTTTCGTAACCCCAAAGCTGACCTTCCTTCTGCTTTCATGCCTCAGCTTCCCAAATACCTCAGAGCCCTACCCGTTCCCTTCATCTCAGGATCACCTACTGCTTCAGCCAAACCCTCTGATAGCCCCAGTGGGTCTGCCCTGCCTGTCCCACTGCCAGGGCAGGTGACTTTGGATCTCACCTGTAGTGCCGTCTTTCCTGGGCTTGCGTGTGTGTGTGTAGTAGTGTCTCAGCACCTACAAAAACAACCTGTTTATTTGTGAGTTCATTAGCATTAGCTCAGCTAATGTGTGATGTTGAGGAGCTGTAGGAATAGAGGTAGTCTGAGTAAACAATATGGTGCCATGTCATCTTGGGCCTGGACTATTCTGCTTTCCTGCTAGGCCCTCTCAGCTCATGTTCTGCTGTGTCTGTAACTCTTCCCTGGGTTCCTCGAATTCCCACAGCGCTTATTCCCTGTGCAATTCACTTGACACCTTTACCTATTCACTTGTAATTATGAGTTAGCTTTTCATATGTCCTTGTCTTGTTCCTCGAGATATAACATGATTCTACGTGCAGGGACCATGTTTCTTCATGCTTTGGAATTGCCTGTAGCTGTGCTGTTCAGTTCAATAGCCACTAGCCACATGTGGCAATTTAAGCTTAAATTAAAATAAAGTAAAATAAAAAATTCAGTTTCTCAGTTGCACTCACCACATTTCAAGTGCTTAGTAATCACATATGGCCAGTAGCTAGTGTATTAGCACCGATGAAGAACATTTCCATTATTCTAGAAAATTCTATTGGACAGTGCTGTTCTATAGCACCTGGTACATATCTGACACCTCATTGGCCCCAAAATATTTACTGATGGAGCCCTCAGATTAACAAAGCCTGTTCTCATGGGTGAAGCTGAGGGCAGTGACAGATGTAGGGAAAAAGTGGTATTTTGCCTTATCACAATTATGAACTGTCAGAGAAAAAAACCACACTTTGCATTTTTAGAAAACCAAAATCAACCAGATTACCCTGTTTAGTTCTGGTCAATAAGATAAGTGAAAGTTTAGGCATTTCCCATAATCCTGCATTGCCTGGTTCAAACAGTTTTATCCTTGACTTTTGTGATGCTGACATCTGAGAAAATGTCACCTCCTTTGTGGATATAATCTTGTGACAAAGTTGCAGTTTCTCTACCAGGAACAGAAAAATCTTGTGGGGTTTTTCCTTTTAAATATCTGTTGATTTTTTTTAAAAAATGCTTTTGCTGACACAGACAAGTAGTTTGGTTGAAGATTTATCTTTTTAAATGCATGGATCTGGAGAAATAAGAAGCAGGCATATCCTGTACCAAGGAAATGATAATTCCTACTGTGGGGAGATAATGTCAGCTACTGGAGAGGGTCCTTGGTGGTTGAGGAGGAAAAGGGAAGTTAGGATTCCTGGATTCTGGAGCTGTGTGATTTTGGGCAACTTGGCCAAACCAAGTCAAGAACCATTTTCTTGTTTTTCTAATAGGAGCTTCTGATGAAATATTTGTGTCATTGTCTCTAAATTTTTTTTAAAGTCAGGACCTCATAGGGCTGGAGTTTCTGTTGACCAGCTGCAGCTTTAGGAGGGTGCCACTGGGTGGGAATGAGATGTGTCATCATGTGTATGAGTGGGTGAACATGAAAGCTACCACTGCCCCATGTGGCTAACACCTCCCCTCTCCCCCACACGCCATGTGACCCTAACAAGTGTTTGTAATTTTTATTTGAAAATAATCTGAATGTGTTTAGGCTGGTGGACCAATCCTCTCATTAAGATTTGATAAGCTGTCCAGGAGTGTAGAGAAACCTCCCTAGGCCTTCTTGCTTAGGGCCTTTGTTTGGACCCTGAAAGAGGAAGTATGTAGCTTGTTAATAAGATTCACAGATGAAAGTGAAGGTTGAAGGCGCTCGGAACCCTAGCAGAGGGTGAAGGTTTGATGCGGGCTCTCTAGTAGTGAGCATATAGCAGCAGGGAATAGTGTGCAGAGCTGAGAATGCCCCAAGGGCATAGCAGTGGGCCTGGGAGAGGATGCGGAGCATGAGAAACTTGGATTGGGAGGCAGGACTGGCAAGCTGGCTCCACCACCACCTTGCTGGCTAGTAACAGGCAAACATGTTGGTCATTTTACCGTAAGGAATATGAGGCCCAGAGAATCTACGTGAATGTGTTTTTTATAGTGGCTGGCATGTCGTGAGAGGCTGTGATTGGTGGGTGGTCCAAAGAACGGGCATGAAGATGGTATGTTCTAAATTATAAACTACTATAGTACTTTATAGTATACCTTAGTTTATAGTATATTACAAATTATAGCTATAGATCACTATAAGCCGGGAATGGGGCAGGGCATTTCATCAATACAATCTGTGGAGTGGGTGGAGTGAGGCTTCAATGGCGTAAGTAACTTCTCCTGGATCACATAGCTGGTAGATGCCTGATCTGGGCTTTGGATCCAGACCTTTCTCCAAGCATGTATTCTTTCCACTATTCCTGCTTCCTCTCCAAAGAGGCTCTTTGTGGTCCATTTCAGTTCGGACATTCTATGATGCTGTCAAAATGCTTTTCTTCAAAAGGCCCTTTAAAAAGCTGTTAGAGCTCCAGGAATAGTACAGATTGAATGTGCTCATCAGTTAAACACATTTACATCTCCCTTGGGGCTGTGGAATTAGCATCTGTTAGGCTGTTCTAAAGCCTGGAGAAGGGCTCAAGATGACCTTGAAGAGCAGATTATTTTGAGGGGGCTTCTACAGTTTGTATTATAGATTGGTCACTTGGTTTTCCCCCCTCTCTTGGCACTTTTGACCACAACAGCGCTTCCTCTGGAAGCTGGAATCTGTCTCTTTTCTGTGTTTGCCTGTTCCAGCTGGACCTGGCCAAACTAAGTCAGCACCCCAGACCCTTCTCCAGGCAGTTCTCTCTTCTCCCTCCTTTGACTGTTTCATTCTGAGAGACCTGGGTGGCTGGCCCAGGAGAGGGATTTCAGGTGTGGGTTACTTGCTGATGAAGATATTTTTTTTTTACAGGATAGGCAATGAATTGGTCTGAGCTATCCACATTCTCTGATTTCCTCTTCCATGACCTGCTGCTGCTGTGTGTAAGGTGCTAATTAGGACAGGAGTCCCAGCCAAGGTGAGAGCTGTAATCAGTGGCCTTAGAATGAGCAAGGTCAGAGGGCAAGGGAAATAATAGACAAAATAAACAAATGGGACTACATCAAACTAAAAAGCTTCTGCACAGCAAAGGGAACCATCAAAATGAAAAGACAACCTAACAACTGGGAGAAGATATTTACAAAACATATATCTGATAAGGGGTTAAAATCCAAAATATATAAAGAACTCATACATCTCAACAACAGAAAAACTGACA